CGGGAGGTGCCAGTGGTGCGGGCAGTGGTCTCGTCTGCCATGGTGCCACGGGAGCCCTTCCCCAGCCAGTATTGGTTATTTCGCCTACATGGGTCGTGTCTTGGTGATGCCCCTTTGATATCTCTTACATGGGAGGTGATGCTCCTCTCTTAAATGAAAGGTGTCTCAATGATGCTCCTCCTGTTTCTCCTACATGGAAGATGTCTTGATGCTGCTGCTCCTATTTCTCTTATATGGAAGGTTTCTTAATGATGCCCCTCTTATTTCTCTTTCTTACATGGAAGGTGTCTTGATGATGCTCCTCTTATTTCTTCTACATGGAAGGTGTCTCAGCGATGCTCCTCCTATTTCTCTTACGTGGAAGGTATCTTGGCCATGCTTCTTGTTCTGGTGACAGACCCTGGCTGGTTGTGGTGTCAGCCATGGCCGTAGTTGGTCATTCCTTGGCTGCCGCTTGGGGAGATGGAGAGGTCCCCTGTGAAGAGAGGGCCTGCAGCCCTGCTCTGCGTGGAGGCTCTGCATGGTGTTGGATGGCTCCTGTGTGGTGAAGCACAAGGATTATGCTTTGCCACTGGGTGGTTTATGGTCTTAACAGTCAACACACTTCTTGTATTCACCAGTTTAGTCGTAAAATGCCTGATCATTGCCGAGATTTTATCCCTGTAAGTTACATGTATCATCTGAAATGCACCTTTTAAATACAAAAGAATGAGTGAAGAAAAGGAGGTTTAAAAATACACTTCCCTACCACACTTGACAGTGCAAAGGCGAATTGATCGTTGAAGAAGGCATCTATGCCATACTCAGCCAAGCTGCTCCTCTGGGAAACGAAATGGTGCAGATCAAGTTTTTTTTTTTTTTTTTTTTTTTTTTTTGCCCTAATTAATTTATCAGACTGTAAGTCTTTTCAGTGTTGATTTTAATCTACTATTATATTTTTAGTCCACTATCATATGAAGCACTATAACTCTGGTAGAGATACAGTTTATCTGCTCCTGCCCTGGGAAGGCAAATCTGTATATAGATACTATCAATAGCAGAGAAACACAGCTTTGATTTTTTGCCAGAGAGGGCAACGGTACTCACAGTGGACAGTAAATTACAACAAAAAAAGGATCATTGAGTTTTATAGGATACTACATGTTTCATCCTGAATGTCTGTGCAAATTTTGAATTATCTTCCAAAATGTACAGACAGCTACGTCTTTTATGTTTCTGTTTGGCCAAGAGAGGAGTAGTTAAAGCTAGTAAGATTTATTCAGTTTTAGTGTTGCTCTGAAGAACCTTCAGTGTGGGAGAAATAGTCAAGAGGAGCATTGGCTTCATGCATCCACTGCTCTTATAGCTGTTTGGGGAACCTGGAGCAACAGAGATGGGCTGTGGCCTTTATTTTGGCCAGTGGCAGAACTAATGCACTGTTGCATTAGTCATTTCAATTCAAATCCTAAGTGACTTTTAAAGCATGTGCATGCTTTCAGATTTGTCATATTAAAATCTGTGAGCAAATATTTTTGTGTGTATAGCATTTAAAGCTATAGCTCATTTTTTTGTGTCTGTGAATAGCTATATTCCCAGGAATATCCAGGATCTAAAAGCTTTTCTCCACTGTGCCATTTTAACAAGATGACTAAGGGAGACATTTGGAAGCTATCAGTGCCATGTATTTTGAATGTGAAACCGACATTCCTATGCTTTGTTCTTAAGGAAATGGAGGTACATAATTTCTTAAAAATTCCAAAGGTCTCTTTATACATGAGTATTGACAATGGCAACAAGAGGAGCAAGGTCATGGACAAGTAAGACTTACCTTGGGACGGACATCTCTTTTCTGGGCTGCAGATAATTGCTTCCACTGCAAGGAGTAGTGCTTGGTCATGACTCTGAGGAAGAGTGATGTAGCTGCTTTGATAACTTGCGAGCAACCACGACAGTTTTATTTCTCTCTCTCCTCATGCTACATCTTATTCTTGTGCTTGTCAGTTTTTGCTAGTATTGTTTTTTGGTGATCCTGTGTTTTGGCATTTCTGGAGGATCTGAAAGTTGCGAAGTTTTGTGTGTGTCTCTGCAGTTAAGACCTATTGAAATAAACTCTTTCCTGTGATATTAGAGAATCTCTTTTTGCTTGAGCAAGATTAGCTAGATAATTATTACTTTATTAGCTAAAATTAGTTTAATTAGTTTAGACAGTATAGACAGTAGTTTAGCTGTGGTGTGACACTGTAGATTGCATGTAAGTTTTGGTGAGATTTCAGTGAAAATGAAGGCTCCAGAAATAAAGTATGATGCAGGTTTTTGTTTTTTGGCATGGTGAATTTGTTGATGCCTGCACTGTAGATTTAAAATATCACTGGAATGTCTATATGCTGTTGTATATATGTATATAATTACTCAAAAATCACAAATATATAGTCAAAATCATTTCAGAATTTGAATTTTAGTTGATGACTTGCAGAATTTTGTACTGGAGCTGTGAAGCTGTGAAGTAAATCCAGCTGCAAGTCCCCCTCTCTGTATGCATACACACACACACACACAGGGTATTCTGGACAAGTACACTAGTCAATAGACTGCTGTGTTGAAAGTGGGTAGCAGAGTCACAGCTACGGCCATAGGAAGATGTATAGCATATTTCAGGGAGAATTTTAGACTTAGGACCCAGAGCTGGTAGAGGGGATTCTCACCCATTCCTTTACTCCATAAACTACTTTGAGGGATTTCATACAATTACATATGACTAATACTTCGTGCAGAATATCTGATGGTAATTCCTGGCCAAAGAGTGGTCTTTTTTAGTAGTACTTCTCAGCTGTATAACCCTTCCAACATAGGGAGTCCTACACTTTACTGGGATTTAGGTTCTACTGCGGTGGCAAAGTGTGTAGTATTTAATTTCCAGCAGTGGTAAACTGATGTACTGGTCCTAGCATCATTTCTTTTGTTTCTTAGTCACTGGGTAGGGGTTTTACAGTGTTTTTGGATTGTCCATTTCTTTTGATACATAAATGTACAAGTTTTACTTACTTTGTCTTTTATTCCATTACAGTTATTTTGAAATAGGAATTAAAAAGCAACAAGGGAAAAGGAAAGAAGTGATGGTAAGTGTTTAAATTACTATAAAATATTATTTATTATTTACTTTAAAATATTATTATTTTGTTTGTATCAATTTTATTTAACACTTAAAATATAATTTTTAAGGGAAGAATATAGTATGGTAGTATCATCAATACAACAGATATTTATTATCCTAAATTTTGATACAACAAGTTATCTTGCAGTTTCTCGTCATTTTCCTTCGATTATATTTTCTATTTAATTATTATTTCTTTCATAATTAAGAATAATTATTGCACTTCTATACTCTTTGCAGTAGCCTGTGCAAGTAGTAATTCAAACGAACGGCATTAGCTCTAATACACATATTTAGCAGTTAATCACAGAATAGATAAGATTGGAAGGGTCTTCTGGAGATCAGCTAGTCCAGAGTAGTTACTGGTGGTGAGTTGCCCTGTCTACTGAGCATATCAATACTCTTGATCCCAGAAACATAATAAACAGGCCTGGACAGAACCTCAAAAATTTATTCACTATCTTCCTTAAGCTAAAGGTCAAAGAAGAATCAGTTGAACCAACACCCGTGTCTATGCTGAGAGATGGACTATGTTCATACAGCTTGTGCGACCTGTCCCTGAACCTTTGGCTTTAGATGGAGAAATTTTCCAAAAACAGCATGATTAGGCTTGCAATTTATTTCGGTAATTTAGACACTGCAGTTACCTCTGATCTCTGATGGTTTTTCTTGAAACTTATGCTGGCTAAATAAGGCCTTCCATGTTCTATCCCAGTCTGAAATCAAAGAGGTTTTCTTAGACCACGTAGGCATTAAGCTAACTTATTTGAATTTGAACTGGAACAGAGGACAAGAAAAGTTCAGACTTAAAACCTGGTGGTTGTAAACCTGTATCTAATAAAGCTTAATCCCATGGAGTACATATAGCTCATTTTTGTAACTTTTTATTTCGCAAAACAGTGGGTTTTAACTGTATGATACCTGTTTACTTCAGGTACCTATTGCAATACGATACCTATTTACTACAGCAAGTTTTTGTGGCCCATTTTGATATAGG